TTTTGATTTGACTAATTGGTGGTTTTATATGTCATTCTATTGTTCTCTCTATCTCTCTCTGTCTTTTCTCTTTCTCTCTTTCTCTTCACACACACACACACAAACACACAGATCCTGAGATCTTTAGAGCAACTAGTCCTGAAGATGCCGAAGACCACACGATCCACCTCCCTGCCGAACCTCAACCGGTCGTCGACGTTCGGTGGCGACGACGGCGACTACGACAACATCAACTGCATGAGCCCCAGGACCCCCATCACATCCGACCACTTCTACTCCTACCCTAACAATAACAATATTAATATTATTAATAATATTACCATCGCTAATAATAATAATAATATCGCTTTTCGTTGACGACTGGCTTTTGAATGAATTGTTGCTGATCGACTGGTGGGTTGATTGGTTGATATTTGTTGCTGATTGGCTGGTGGGTTGATTGGTTGACATTTGTTGCTGATTGGCTGGTGGGTTGATTGGTTGACATTTGTTGCTGATTGGCTGGTGGGTTGATTGGTTGACATTTGTTGCTGATTGGCTGGTGGGGTGATTGATTGGTCGGTTGACATTTTCGCTGATTGGTTGGTCGGTTGGCATTTGTTGCTGATTGGTTGGCCGGTCGCTGATGTACAAAGTTTTTTAACTAAATATCAAGCGAATGCAAACTATAATTACGTTATTGATAATATTATTTATAATATTATTAATATTATAATAATTATCATTATTTATTGTTTTGTTTTTATAAACATAATTATAAAAAATATTAAAACTACCCCATGACGTGTGAGTACGACATATGTGAATTTTATTTTTGTTAGACACTTACCTTCTTTTAACATCGGTCATATTTATTCAATCAATCATTCGTTCATTCATTCATAAATTATGCATGCATGCATACGTACATTCACACATGAATACTTAAATACAATTGGTTTTCATGTTGTTGACTAGTTATAATATTGTAATGCACAATTTTGTCTTTAAATAACATAAAAATATACATACATACACTCTTACATACATACAAACATAAATACATACAAACATGTATGCATGCATATATACATACGTAGATAATACATGCATTATATGGCTGGGTTGATTTTTTTAACTTTTATATATTATATATATATATATATAATTGTTATTAATCTTATTTATTATTATTATTGTCAAACAATTCTCTGGCGTTTCTTGATTGACCAACTGTTTATCATTATTTTTGTTCTTTCAATTAGTATTCCTGTTTCTATTCTTATTTATATTTCATTATTATTATTATTTTATTATTATTGTTTTCATTGTTATGTTTGTTATCATTATTTCTTCGTTATTTTATCACATGACTTTTTTAAAGCATCCGTGAGTCTCGCAGACTCGAGTGAGGCTAAAAATAGCGTCTGGCTATTTTTAGCCTCATCATCACGTCGTCATGGTCATTCCACTCTTACGTCATCATCGTCGTCGATGATCGTCATCATCGTAGCTACTATTACGTCATCGTCGTCATCGTCTTAAGAGTTCGTCACGGCATCATCGTTTCGTAATTTTGTTGTTATCACTATCACCCTGTCATTAATGACCGTGTTGTCATCACCGTACCACAGTCGTCATCATCATCGTCATCATCACAACATTTGTTGTTTAATTCTTTTTCAATTTTCCTTTTTTTTCTCTCTTCTTTATTTCCTTCAATCAATCAATCAGTCAGTCGATCGGTTAGAGACTTTTGAATAACTGTCATCGTCATCATCGAACTTATTACTACCATAATCATAATTATCATCTGTGTACTATCATAAATCACAAATCATCAACTTAATCATATGACGATGATTTCCCATTATTAATTAATCATATATATATATATATATATATATCCATATAAATAAAAGCATATATATATATATATATATATATATATATATATACGCTTGTACGTATTGTATATACCCAATGGCATATACATAATTATACCATATATAAGTATATATATATATATATATATATATATATATAATGTATTGAATAAAGATAAAGAATGAGAAGAATTTGTTGTTATTTTATTTATTTTATAGTTTATAGTTCTACTAAAAAATTTAAACAAAACGTTTTATCATATGACAGAGTTATTTTCATCGTCATCTTTATCGTCATGTTGTTGTTGTTGTAGTTGCTAGGCAAGCAGAAACTTCTGCTGGTTGTGTCTAAATGGTTGATGTCCAAATAACTGATGCCCAATATGGTTGGGTGTTAGGGTAGTTGGAAACATGTCGAAGATTGTGAAGGGTGTTGTTAGATGTCTGGGACATGTCTGAGATGCTTCGATTGGTTCTGTCTTGGAAGCCGTTGACGATGGCCTAATCTTGATAACGCTAACATGATTATGACGACGATGATGATGACGACAATGACGATTAGGTAGAGAAGGATGACGACGATTAGATGGTTAAGAGAGATGAGGACGATGATTAGAAAGAAGATGGTGATGATTAAGGATGATAATCTTTTAGAGAGTAAACCACTTCGGTCGGAATAATGTTTCAACCAGTAACTGATTAGAAACCGACCTATAAATATGTGTATTTATTTATCACTCGCTCTTTCATTCATTTTTTTTTCATTTAACTTGTTCACTCAATCAATATTTATCATTTATTTACTCCTTCATTCACTCTACTTTTCTCATTCATTCATTCATTTCTTCTCGTATTTATTCACTTTTCACTTTATCCATTCATTCGTTCAATCAATCATTCACTTATTAGTACATTTATTCATTCAATCATTCATTCATTCGTTCATTCATTCACTCACTCCATGGCGTATGTTGGAATGTCTTTCTTGAAGACGATGAATATCTCGTAATTATCATTGCCTATCATCATATTATAGTCAATTAGTTTGTAATCGTTTTGTATATACATTACCATCATTTTACTTGCGGTCATCATCATCATCATCACAATCATCATCATAATCACAATCATCATCACAATCGCAATCATCACCATTGTCATCATCATAAGCACCTTTCTTACGGGCAGTATGATAACATTTATAGTTACGAAGACACATGTATGACTCCGTAGCATCGTGAATGTCAGAGTTCAAGGTTGTTCGATAGGCAAAGGTCAGGTCTATTTTTAGAATATTGGATTTAAATAATGGTAGAATGGGTTTGAATAAATTAATTTATTATGCTAATAAGTTTATTAGAAAGTACAATAATTTATTTTGTTATCTATCAGGACTTTGAAACAGAACATCTGGAGTTGAACACGCCAGTCAATCAACCAGGAAATAAACCATCCAATTAATCAGTCAACCAGTTAATTAGTCAATCAATCAGTCAATCAATCAATCAATTAGTCAACCAATTAATTAGTCAGTCGATCAATCAGCCAGTCAGTCAACCAATCAATCAATCCTACTTTGAGCTTTATTCTCGATGACGTCATTTTTCTTGAATTTACTGACGTAGTGTTCGTAGAATGATGTCAGTATACGGCCTCTCTCAAAACCTGTGTGCATGTTTGTATGTGTGCGTGTGTTTATGTGTGTGTGTGATGAAGATGATGATGACGATACCATTTTCGTTCTCGTCCTCATCGTCGTCATCATTGTTGACATCGGGGCACATGACGTGACGATGTTTCGATGTGTTTAATAGGAGGAAGCTGTAGCGAATGGATGAGTGTATGAAGGAAAGAACGATGAATGAATGTATGCATGGCATGAATGAATAAATGAATGAAGGAATGAATGTATGAATAAATGAATGAAAGATAGATAGATATTATTGAGAAGAATGCTCGGAATAAGCTTGAAGTAATGTTGTAGGAAGTATGGTTGAATGGCAGTTAGATGAATTAATGAATGAAAAAATGAATGAATGAACGAACGAACGAATTAATGAATGACTGACTGACTGAATGCATAAATGAATGAATGAACAAAAAGAAAAAAAAATCAGCCAGTGGAACCTGACAAGATCCTTATTAACAGTAGGAAGATAGGGCATGGAGTTATTCCTCATCTTTGTCATTCTCGCCAACAAATCAACTTGTTGCGTCCAGAATTCATTCGTCTATTGCGTTTTGTTATTAGTTGCTGTTGAGCGACTAGATATTGTAATGGTTAAGACTCCTGGTATTGGTTGGTGGTGTAGCGATCGGGTTCGAAAGCAAAGAGATCTCTGCCTATTACATGCAATATGTGCGTGATGCATGAATTCAAGCGTATTCAAAGGCGCTGTGTGTGTTAGTGATGACTCTGAGATGAAAAAAAATCACATTGCCGTGTGTCTGTATGTGTGAGTATGGGTCTGTGTTTGTCTGTGTGTGTGTGTGTGTTTGTCTGTGTGTATGTGTGTTTGTAAACAACAAATAAACAAAAAGCACACAAACAACAACACACACGACAACACACACAAACAACAACACAAACCTTCGAAGCAACATCTTTGATTGTAGATTTGTTCTCCAATAGCACGCAAACTATGACATCTCGTAATAACTTCACTGATACCAACCTTAAACTTTTCTATTTAAGCAATCAATTAATCAATCAACCAATCAGTCAGTCACCAATCAATCAATCAATCAGTCATCAATCAATCAACTAATCAATCAATCAGTCAGTCACCAATCAATCAATCAACCAATCAATCAATCAAACGGACAATCAATCTCTCCATCAGCCTCTGCATCGTCTCCAGCATCACCAACGTCTGGACTGGACTCAGGGAGATAGATGACACACTCGTCAACTGTGACACTGTCGCTGAAAGACGACAAGGACGCAAATATACATCGGTTGACGTAATGATGTAAAATGACTGAATCGTGAGGTGGTAGCTGACTGTTGGACTTATCTGTTGACGCTGCCAGGAGGCCTGTTGGTGATGGTGACGATGAATGAGTGAGTGAGTGAGTGACTGAGTGAATGAATGAATGAATGAGTGAATGAATGAATGAATGAATGAATGAATGAATGAATGAATGAATGAATGAATGAATGAATGAATGAATGAATGAGTGAATGAATGAATGAGTGAATGAATGAATGAAAAAATAAACGAATGAGTGAATGAATGAATGAATGAAAAAATAAACGAATGAGTGAATGAATGAATGAATGAAAAAATAAACGAATGAACAAAGATGACGGTGATGATGGTGGTGATGCTATAAAGATTCATAACGAAAGTCAATCTTCGTTTTGCGTCCAGAGACCCGGTTCCCCGAGGTAGGACGTGATTCATAACAAAAGTAACAATGATTTAAATTGGTGACAATGAGGATGACGATGATAAAGATGACATTAATAATAATAATAATAATATAAAAATCGGCGAAAATAATGAAATGATGATGGCGATGATGACGACGACGATGATGACGACGATGATGATAACCATGATGATGAGTGAAACCTTTAATGAAAAGACAGGCCATCTTCATTTTGATGAAAATTTTTGAATAATCATCCAGGCATGACTATCGTCAAATATTATTTAATTATTTATTAATAAATATATCTATAATTAATTACTTGATCAATCAACTCATTCATTCACTCATTCATTCACTTATTCATTCATTCATTCATTCATTCATTCATTCATTCATTCATTCATTCATTCATTCATTCATTCATTCATTCATTCATTCATTCACTCATTCATTCATTCATTCATTCATTCATTCATTCATTCACTCATTCATTCATACATACATAATTATAAAACATATTATTTTTAATTAGTTATCTAATATAAGTACAAAAATTAATTAGTTAATTAATTAATTAATTAATCAGTCAATTAAACATTCATCTGTTGGCTTCATTTAAAAAGCGTAACAAGAGTACATACAACCTGTAGCATAAAAATGTCATCTGACAGCATGGAACTGTTACTCAGAGCTACCAAATTGAAATCTAAATATTGATTCTTCTTTCGGATTTTGCTGCTGCTGTTGTTGTTGCCGTTTTTGATGTTGCTGTTGATGTTGTTGAAGTTGCTATTGATGTTGTTGAAGTGGCTGTCGTTGTTGCTGATGAAAGCGTCGTTTGTTGTTAGCAAGCTGTCGACGAGGCAGTATGCCTTCTGGATGGTTGTTGGTTTTGTTGATGTCAACTTTAATGTCTTACAGTGACAAGACTCCATTAACAAAATAATTTGAAATGATACAAAAACATCAAAAACAACATCAACAAAAACTAAAACAACAACAACGGACTTGCATCTCCTGTTTGATAGCATCAAAATTGTTAATGTCTAGAGCAGATGATATTTTTTTCCCGCCAATCATAAATATCAATGAATTGTATATCAGGTTGAACAATCTATCATATATCCATCCATCATTTGATATGTTTGATATCAATATCATCGTCATCCTGAAAATGAAATGAAGTAATTAATGTGTGAGTAATTAAATAAGATTAGTAATTTAGGAAATTTTTAGGTAACATAACAAAATTCATCTGTTATGATAGAATTGACAATCTAAATAAGTTCTTAAATGATCAACCTATCAAAAAATCAATCAATCAATCAACTAACCAACCATACAACTAACCAACAAACTAACCAGTCAGCCAGCCAACCAATCTACAAACCAGCCAGCCAACCAACAAACCTACCCAGTGTTAAACACCCTCCAATTAACACAGATGTCCCCAGATAAAGTTTGTTTCAGATCAGCAAGGTAGGAGGAACAGAATGTATGGGCCACATTCAACGAACTCAACACCTGATCAGGTAACTAAAACAATATTTTAATAATAATGAAATAATTATTAAATTATTGAAAAATATTATTATAAATATATTATAAAATATATATAATAATATGTTTGTGTGTGGGACCATTCCTTCTTATCTTGTAAACATGAGTAGTACAAATGAGTGTGTGTCAGTGTATGATAAACATAAACAAGACCAATGTGTGTGTGTGTGTGTGTGCGTGTGTGTGTGTGTGAGAGAGAGAGAGAGTGTGTGCACAAATTTCTCTCTACCTGATTAACATGACCAAGAGTCCTTGTGAAAAATGGCAGGCCTGATTCCGTTTGGATGCATGTGAGATGGAAGAAAATTGATCTCATTTCTTCATATGCTATTTATATTTCTTTCCATTAACTTAACAACCTATATAAATTTCAAAAATTATTTTTAATTATTTGTAACTTTGAATTGAAATTGGTGGTGAACTCAAATTTCTGATAAATTTGTTATAATGAATAATTAATATTAGAATTAGTTGGAATTTGATTAAAAATCATTAAAATTTAATGATTAAATTTAATTTTTATGAAATTTTATGATACAATTTATCTAAAATTTTAATTTTGAAATTTTTACAAAATAAAATCAAAAAAACTTATTAGTATATTATAAGTAACTTAATTAAAAAAAAACAAAATTTCATTGAAATTTGATATGAAATTATCACAAGCACAGATATTTCAAGTCCGTACAATTTTTTAATCGAGCAACAATGAGCAATCCAACTTTGTAGATCGTTAATAAAAAAGCCTTAAATACTAGACCAGCAATAAAATTATTTAATGACAACGCCGCGATTACTTACAATTTTGAACTTTAAAATGCCACATTGTCAACATTTAACTAAAATTAACTTTTCGCGTTTGGTTTGTCTAACAGCCAAAAACAGAGGGTTTTAAAAATTAATTGCTAGCGATTCACAACTTATGTAAAAGTTGAACAATTATTTTGAAATTAAACAAAATAAACGGTAATAAAAAAATATAAATGACAAATATAACAAACTTTTCAATAATTTTGAATTTAAACTTGTTTTAAAAAACGCACATTATGTTACTTTTTGACCATACTTTAACTTAAATACTTCAAATACTTTCCAGTAACATTACATCAATATTACACTAATATAATACCATAATCCCAAAAATATAGTATAAAATATTTCAAAAATTCTTATTTAATATATTTTTGCATTAAATAACATCATTTTATTAAAATATTCCCGAATATAGCATTAACTTAGAGGGTTGATATCATTAGTCATCATTCATCCCAACATCATCATATTTTTCTTAAAGACAAGACATCGTTAACTTTTGACTGTCCAAGAAAATAGGTCATTGTCCATTTTTTCTTGATTTCAATGTTTTCTCGGCAGGTCAGATTGTAGCCAAATTAATTCGCTGCATCAGCATCATGCTCCAAAAATCAACTCATGATTTCATCACTACGGAATCAGTTCTCCGCGATCCTATGGACAATCCATTTCCTCCTCTTTCTATCGCATGTTATGGCTATCGCATGTTATGGTGGTGGCCAACTCCAGTTTAAATTTTAAATTCAGTAAGACACATACACTTACTACAAATTCAGCAACCGACACCACACACACATACACACAGATACACACACAACACACACACAAACACACACACACAAGCACATGCATACAGTCACGTACAATCATGAATATGCCCTGTACATTATTTCTTCTTTAAATATTAACGCATGAATGCACGCACGCACAACATAACATCGTCACAATGATTTGATAAAAGCGCCGTTCATTCGATAGACCAATAAAATTTGTTTGAGTTTGATTTGTGAACTATTTTGAAATTTGAATAGGGGCAGATGTTTGAGTGGAAGAAAAAATAAATGATTGAACGAACGATCGAAAGAACGAACGAACGAATAAATATGAAAAAAATTATAGATAATTACAAATATTATAATTATCACTGTTATCATCATCATTATCACTGTCATCTTCGCTAACATCATCATCATCATTATCAACAACAACATGATAATAATAATAATAATATTTATCATCAACAACAACAATAACATCGTCACCATCATCGCCATCTTAATAACCATATCTTAGCATGTAACAGTTCACGACCCAGCTTAGGCGAAATATAAATTAGAGGTTCCTCTACTCTCTCTCTCTCTCTCTCTCTCTCTCTCTCTCTCTCTCTCTCTCTCTCTCTCTCTTTTTTCTCTTTTTATTTTTCAAGTTTCGTTTATTCTTTTTTCAATCTTTCTCTCTTTCTTTCTCTTTTTCAATCTTTCTCTCTTTCTCTTTCTTTCTCTTTTTCAATCTTTCTCTCTTTCTCTTTCTTTCTCTTACTTGACAAACCAAAAACATACAACATCACAAAAAATCTCCTACAAAACAAACAGACAAACGAACGAACAAACAAACAGACAGACAAACAAACAGACAGACAAACGAACAAATACAAACAAACAAACAGACAGACAGACAAGCAGACAAACAAACAGACAAACAAACAAACAAACAAACGAACGAACAAACAAAAACACAAACAAGGACTCAGCAATACGACAAAGCAGTAACGTACACGCAAAAGTATGTGGACGGTAATTATTAGGTGAGTATCAGATCAGTCCTATGGATGGATGTATTAACATACTTTCCTCATTGAAATACTTGGGCGGATGTTAGTGTTGTTATTGTTGTTGTCGTTGTGGCTGTATTAATCGCGGTAGGAGAAGCCGCATTAGTAGTTGTAGCAGTATCAGCATTAGTAGAGTAGTAATTATAGTAGTAATTATAATAGTAGCAGCTGTAGTTATAGCAGCCGTAGCTTTAGCAGTCGTAGTAGTATTAGCAACAGTAGTAGTAACAGCTGTAGCAGCACTAGCAGTAGTAGTAGTAGTATTAGTAATATTAGTAATAGTAGTAGTATTAGTAGTAGTAGTAGTAGTAGTAGTAGTAGTAGTAGTAGTAGCAGTAGTAGTAGCAGTAGTAGTAGTAGCAGCGGTAGTAGTAGTAGCAGTAGTAGTAGTAGTAGTGGTAGTAGTAGCAGCAGCAGCGGTAGTAGTAGTAGTAGCAAAGGTATTTTTGTTGTTGTGCAGGTAGTGTCAGATAGGACTGAAGGCATAATACGGTGACCTCGTGTCATTGAAACCCATTATTAAGTGTGCTGTTGTTGTTGTTGCTGTTGTGGTTGTTGATGTTGTAGTTGCTGTTGTTGATGATGATGCTGTAGTTGTTGTTGTTGTAATTGTTGATGTTGTTGATGATGTTGTTGTTGTTGTTGATGATGTGATAATGTTTGTACTGCTGGCTGTTAATGTTGTTGATAGATGTTGGAATTTTTACGGTCTAGTTTCCTTAACTCTTCGTAGCTTTTATTGTTGGAGTTGTATAATTATACTACATTATATTATCATAACATAAATAATAACAACATTAATAATGACATTAACACGTGATGTTAAAGCTGTTGTTTTTGTGATTGTTGTTACAACAATCTTACTGGCAAAGTTGATACATTTACGATACTGGTGCCGTAGTAATAAAATTTGTATGTCATCGTCATGTCACTTTATAATTAAAATAGTTGATATTTCTAAAACATGCAATGTATTTTGATGTAATTTATGCTAATGTATGCGTGACTGTGTTGACGAAGATGATGATGATGATGAAGAAGAACATGATGATGAAGAAGAAGATGATGATGATGAAGAAGATGATGAAGACGATGAGGAGGTTGTTATAAAGTTTATTGATCCGAATGTTTGTCAATATTTAAACAACAAACAAATTTAACGACCAAGCGGTCATCAAATACAACTTCCGCTGTTCGATGATGACGTCACACAGGAACTATTACGTCACAAGCAGAAATGATTAGCCAGACAATGCGCCTAACTTTGCAAACAAACAACTGTACGGGATTACATTTTGTTAGCAGTTTTGGGATTAATATTACTATTGTTGCTGTTTATTTGTTGTTGTTGTTGTTTGTTGTTTATATTGTTATTGTAGTATTTTGTTAAAATATATCAACAACAACAGCAGTAGTAGTAGTAGTAACAACAACAAAGCAGCAACAACAGCAGCAGTAGTAGTAGTAGTAGTTTTAATAATAGTAGTAGTAGTATAGAAGTAGTAGTAGTAGAAGTAGTAGTAATAGTAGTAGTAATAGTAGTAGTAGTAGTAGTAGTAGTAGTAGTAGTTGATGTTGTTCACGTAAAGTTGTTGTTGATTAATTTTCTACGATTGCTTATAATTTTGTTTCTGCTTCTGGTATTAATGTTGCTGATGTAGTTTTTAATGTTTTTTCACGCTGTTAATGTTATTGACGTTGTTGTTGTAGAGGAAAATGTTGTTGTTATCGTTATGGAAATAATGAATTTTCAACTTGATAATAATAATTTAAGCGTTTAAATAGGCCAAATTTTATTTCAAAATTACTTTAATTTAGTCGCGAACTCTTTTCTGCGTGCCATTACAAATTTGTTTATCATTATATCTTTATAATGATGGATGTGTGACTAATTCATTTAACACGCACACACAAGCACACACAAACACACACACATGTATGCATACACACAAACACACACACAAATGTATGCATACATACACACATATACATATAACACTATACAATTACATCTTCAAAAATACAAATCACTGTATTACGTATTATACAATCACGTACAGACACACACACACATACACACATGCATACAAACGTACATGTTTTCATCCATACATTCCTACATACACATACATTCACACTCACACACACATACATACATACCAACATATTCTCCAGATATGTTTGTATATATGTTTGTTTGTTGTTGTTTATGAATATTGGGCAGGTGAGGTGAGTAATTATAAAGACAAACCATGGCGTGATGGTATGTATGTGTGTATGTTCATACACGTGTGTACGTGTGTGTGTTTATGTACGTGTGTGCGTATGTGTGTGTGTGTGTGTAAATCTCTGTATATGTGAGTATGTCTATGTATGTGTGCGTATGTTTGTGTGTGTGTTCATGCGTTATGTAAATTTTAAAATCTCTATATATTTAACAATGCGTATACATATATAAATGCTAATGAACAATCATATGCTAATACATGTGTATGTGTGTGTGTGTGTAAACCAAATGAAGCTAGCTATACTATACACGCATGCATATACACACATACACACACGCACAAATACACACACATACAAATACACATATACATACAAATAAATACACATGCACACATGCATTTATCTTCTCAATAGATATGGGCGTATGCATTATTCTAAAATGCAATTTAAATACCATGATATATAAATCACACTTAAGCCACACACGAACTTAATAAAAAATATATTTATTCATAATTTTCCATAATTATATTGTTTAATAATAATATTTTTTAAACATCATAAAAAAATAGTTAAGAGGAGTTACATAGAGTAAATTATTTATCGTTCAGCGATAAGTCATTTCAAAATTAATCTTTCCATTGCTTTCCACACAGGGTGCCACGTTTGACATGTGTATGTATGTATGTGTGTGTTTGTATGTGAGTGTATCTCTGTGTGTGTGTGTGTGTGTGTATGTATGTATGTATTTGTGTAAGCATGTGTAAATATCTGAAGGAATAATTGTACGTGTTCAAGAATATGCACATATATGTATGTAATGTAATGCATGTATGTATGCGATTTTGTGTATATTTATATATATATGTGTGTGTTTGTGTGCGTGCGTCTGTGTGTGTTTGTGTGCGTTCAGTGAAGATGTCATTGGTAGGGGGGTTAATAAATTTGTCACAAATAAGAACATTCATCATTGTGCACGCACGCACACACGCACGCACACACACAAACATAAATAATATAGTGTATTTTTGCACACAAACACACAAAAATATTTACAATCACACATATAAATAATCACATCAAATTCAAATCTATAAATATCATTAAGGATAAAATAACAACACACACATATACACACACATACAAACTCACACATACAAACTCATAAACACATACAAACAGACAAACACACACGCACACACATACAAACTCATACACACATACAAACACACACACACATATACACATGTATGTATTGGTATTCGTTTGGATTATTATTACGATTGTAAAGTGGTGATAACTTTATTACATTCACACACACACGCACATAAAAATACCATAATGAACATACATATACAAGTGTATATGTATGTGTGCGTGCGTGTATGTGTGTGTGTGATTGCAGAATATATATAAAGGGCTGTGATGGTGGCATTTGCATAAATTTCAGTTACTCATAGTAATGAACAAATTGGCTTCTGCTACATATCGCTTGGATTTACTTAACTAAGACTTTATACTAAAGGTTTGGAATTTATTTATTATATTTATTAAAATAATGAAGTTATTAATATAAAATTATTATTATTTTAAGTATAATTAAATCCTTTCTCTCTCTATATATGTATGTAAATATATATTTATATTTATAAAAAGTTTAATATGAGATTTTTATTATTTTGTTTAGGAGCTGGTTTAAAGCAAGAGTCTTTTAGAAAGTTCGCTGATCAACTAATAACTATAAAAAATATAGACAAACTTTGTTAAACAAAATAGGCAAAGACAACAATTACATCAAAACAACTTTAACAAAACTACATCAAATACAATACAAACGTTGACAACAACCTCAACAACGACAACATTAATAACAACAACATTAACAACAACCTCAACAACGACAACATTAATAACAACAACAACAACAGCAGCATTACTGACAGCAGCGGTATAGTAAATCAAAACGACAAAACGAGAACATAAAAAATGAGTTCGTTCTTGAAAAAACTCCTTCACAAAGAAAGACATCAACTCAGTCGCAATCACATCAACAACCACGTTCAGCAACAACAACAACATCAGCAACAACAACAATACATACAGCAACATCAACAAAGTGACGACTACTATTACAACATGTTCCTACGACGACATTCTCAACAACGACAACGAATTGAATCAGCTCTGCTCAAGTGCGTGCCAACAAATGATTACGATTACTTCAACAAACATCAACAACAACCACAACGACGACATCAACAACCACAACAACGACATCAACAGCCACAACAGCTACAGCCGCAACAGCGTAGATTTATCAAACAACAACAACAATTGGCACGTTTCAACAACAACAACAACAACATGACCAGTACAGTCGGAATATTTTGTGCTGTTTGTGATGAGGCTAGTACTATTTTTTCACATTCATTTGTATAGCCTACTTTGTGTGTGCGCGTGTACGTGTGTGTGTGCGTGTGTGTGTGTTTTGTTTTTGGGATTTAAAAAAATTTTAAGCATTCAATGTAAATCAACACTTCCTGCATTTTACTATCATCATCCTTATTACCAACATCTTCACCGTATGATCCTCACAACCATCACCTTCATCTCCAACACAGGCCCTCCAGCCAACCGCCTCAGACATCGTATCGAATAACGGCCATTACTTTCATCTACGCCACTTCGTCTGCTGCCACTGTCACGTGACACTTGCCGGAAGTGAATGCGTCATCGCCCAAGAGAAAAGATCATCAATCGGTGTCGGTATAAACAGAAACAATGGGGATTACCACTACAACTACAACAGCAACAGCAGTAACTTCAACAACCACAACGACTACTACAACATCGGCAGCTATTGCAGCTTCGATAATAACCACAGTAACAGCAGCCATTATCGAAGTATCGATGAAATAAATGCAAGATATTTTAGCATGGATCGTCGTGAAGTGGTTAACAGCAACAACAACATGATATATCAGTACAACAACAGCAGTAACACAAACGAATACAAATTTAGCATCTGTTGTTTGCAATGTTACGATGTTCACCACGCAAAACGTTGTTCGTCCTGTTCAAAAGCCGTTCTCACGGACACAAACTACTTTCAAGTGAACGAGAATAGCGTTTGGCATGCCGATGGTTCGTGCTTTCGATGTCAAACATGTACTGCCTCGCTCATGGGGAGGAAATTTTTTACGAAAATGAAATCAGCCAGGTCTAATTATGATGAGGCTAGTAATGCAGATGACGGTCGTCATCACCTGAACGGTGGCTACAACGTCATCGTCACATTGGTGTTCTGCAGCGAGGTTTGTGCCGGCCTGGATGGATTGATGAATGATGAAGAGGATGATGACGTTGGTGGTGGTCTGCAGCCACTATCATTATCAGGACTTCCTGTATCACTATCAGGACTTCCAGTATCACTATCAGGACTTCCAGTATCACTATCAGAACTTCCAGAATCATCATTACCAAAAATTTCATCATCATCATCATCATCACTGACACTACCGTCATCATCATCATCATCACAACCTTTGTTATCATTACCGACGCCAACAATCTCAACGACAGCAGCTTCATCTTTGACGTCTTCATCTGCAGTCAGTAGTAGATCATTATCGTCGTCGTCGTCATCATTGTCAGTTATAACATCCTCATCATCATCATTACCAGTAGCGACAACTGCTGTATCATTATCGACATCCGTTTCAATGATAACCACACAATCATCATCATCGTCATCATCATCATCATCATTCTCATCATCATCATCATCATCATTGTGGCGATCGTCACCTTCAATAACCGTTTCGTCATCATCTACAATGATGTCATCTAGAACTGACGCTGCCCCGTTACCATCATCATCATCAACGTCATCATCATCTGCTTCAATATCATCATCAACATCAACATCATCATCATCTGCTTCTGTAGCATCATCATCAACAACAACATCATCATCATCATCTTCTACTATATCATCATCATCATCCTCATCATTTGGATCAATGTTATCATCATCAAAATTGCGATCCACAGCAACAAAACTGTTATCAACTTTTTCATTAACACCTTCTTTATCATCATCATCATCAGCAGCAACACCATCATCATCATCACTACCACCACTACCGCCATCATCGTCATCATCATCACTGAGGAGAGATAGGGCGAAAGTGAGAGTGAGGAGAAAGAGCTTGAGGACGGTGAGGAGTTTAAAAAATATGGCGACGAAGAATAAAACAACAAAAATAAAGTGGATCTCATTTGGGATGACAACACCATCAGCAACAGCAAAACCAACAAGCGAAATATCAGCATTTTCATCGCTGGAACAATCAACAGCAACCACAACTACTATGACTACTACATTAGCAACCACAACTACGACAGCTAGTACAATAACATCAGCAACTGCAGTAGCCACATCAACGGCACCAACGGCAACCACAAAAACATCATCGCCATCGTTATTATCATGTGGAATACCGCCTCTAAGAGTTCAATGCTACTTACAAAAAAGCAAGTTTTTTGATGATTTAGTAACACCACCATCCCAACAACAACAACAGCAGTCGGAGCAGCAGCAACTAAGCCAGCAACAGCCACATCAGCAACAACAAAAACAACAACTTCAGTTGATGTTGTCCCAGAAACGAAAGATCCAGCAACAAACATTATTGATATTGCAAAAACAACAAAACTCTATCAGAAACAAACAACAGCAACAAAGGCTACAGCACCAGCAACAACTTCAACTACAACAACATACATGTGAAAAAACGCAACAAAACGCTTTAGCAAGCATAACGGCTTCCATTAACCTCATGGAAATAATTTTCAACAATTTCCAAAGTAGAGCGCAAAATTTTAATAAAAGTGACAACAACATCATCATCAACAACAACAACAGCAACAATAATAATAATACTTTTGAAAACATAAACAACAACAAAAACAACAACGTAGACAGTGTGACTATGACGACGGCTGCAACAACTACAACAACGTCATATCAATTACCGTCACTGTCACTTGTAGCGACTTCAACAACGTCAACGGAGTCGCAACAGCAACAACAGCAGCAGCAGCAACAACAACACCAACAACAACAGCTGCAACAACAACAACAACACCAACAACAACAGCAACAACAACAACAATCATTCCTATCGACACCTCAGCAGCAGCAGAAGCAGCAGGAAACGCCAACGCCACGAATTTTAACCCGCGAAATCGTCAGACGACTGACTTTCAGTAATATTTCTTATGATTATAAACCAAACCGTCGATCGTCAACATCATCATCATCATCATCGCCATCTTCATTATCATCAGCATCATCATCATCGCCACCTTTACAATCATCATTATCATCACCATCTCTATCGTCGTCGTCGTCGTCATCATCACCGGTCTTGGAGTTCTCGCATTTGGTTGAACAGGATGGCAATGTCGCCAATAAACTTGTTTATTTTTGAACCTACGTTTTGAACTTTTTATCTTTATTAATTAATTAATTTATTTATTTATTTATTATGATTATTATTCTCACCAAATAATAAAAATTATTATGTTTGTTTAAAGGGGCATACAATTTTGTCATTGCTATTGAAATGTATCATGTATCTATTAACAATGTTATTATTATTATTATTGTTGTTGTAATTATTTTATTTATTGGTTTTTTACTTATATTACTAATATTATTATTGTTGTTGTTGTCATCATTGCGTTAAATGTACCTCACAATCTTACTGCATACAATTTTGCTTATATTGTAAATATAAAGAAATAAATGAACACACATACACACACATGTACACACACACACGTACGTACGTACACACACGTACACACACACGTACACACATCTCATTGTATTTGCGTTTAAATTTAAGTAAAATCTCTGAATGTTAAGCATCTACGGATATTTTGAAGACTGTTTTCAGCCAATTTGTTGAAATTAAATATATGAGAAAAATGTTTAATTTAAACTTTTAAAGTATACTATTAAATTATAAATAAAGAAAATAACAGTTTGGAAAATAATTTCAAAAAATACATTTTGTTGCTCATTTTATCGTTGTTCTAATATCGTGAATTTTCTTCTGTGACCAGGTTCGAATATGGCAAAAATATCTCCACTTATTATCAAAGGCTCTGTATGTGATGCGTCGTTTAACATGTATTCAAATAGGCTGGTTGTGTGTCGTTTGATTCCTCTGATTCCTAGGAAGAGTGCAATCCATTGAACAAGCTGTTTAACATATACGTGTTTAACATGTAAACCTCTTTCTCTATTTCTCTCACTTCCTCTTAACTCGTGTTAAACACTCTTGCTAAATTTGTATTTGCTTTTTCTGGCTTTTTTCTCTGGAACTCTCTACCTTCCTATCTGGCTACTTCTCCATCAATTACGAAGTTCAGAGCGCATCTCAAGACCCATCTGTTTTCAAAATTCATTGAAGTGCGCTGTTGAACATCGCGGAATAGCGCTTTATAAGCTGATTGATTGATTGATTGACTGACTGACTGACTGACTGACTGACTGACTGACTGACTGACTGACTGACTGACTGACTGACTGACTGACTGACTGACTGACTGACTGACTGACTGACTGACTGACTGACTGACTGACTGACTGACTGACTGACTGACTGACTGACTGACTGACTGACTGACTGACTGACTGACTGACTGACTGACTGACTGACTGACTGACTGACTGACTGACTGACTGACTGACTGACTGACTGACTGACTGACTGACTGACTGACTGACTGACTGACTGACTGACTGACTGACTGACTGACTGACTGACTGACTGACTGACTGACTGACTGACTGACTGACTGACTGACTGACTGACTGACTGACTGACTGACTGACTGACTGACTGACTGACTGACTGACTGACTGACTGACTGACTGACTGACTGACTGACTGACTGATTGGTTTTTCACGGTCTCTTAGGTCGGTCAGCCATCGTGGCTAACTTCAGTCTCGTACGTTTCAATGTTTTCTTTTTCTGTATTCATCATAACGTAGTTTTTATTTTTTTAATGAAAAGAGGTGTTATTTTTTTAATCGTCAGATATTTTTAGGTTTCTAATGGCTAACTAAATCTTTGTTAACATTCCTCACTCAATACTACGTTGTTAAATTCTATGTTTTCCATCATCATTATGTCTGTTTTGTAGTAATACTAGTAATTCACTAATTCAGAAATTCATATTTTTGTTTCTTTTGATTTTTGCGCCTCTGAGGTTTGGTTTTTTGATTATAATTAATATTTTATATGTGTATTGTTATAAAAATTAATTATATAATTGTAATATAATTTATTTTATAATATTATATTTGTGTGTGTATGTATTCGTATTGTATGTGTGCATGTGTGTAACTGTGTTTTAAAAATATTTTTTAAATTAATTTTTAGGGAGAATGGAGAATTTAATAAAATGTCGGCTATGTATGGATGTTCTGAAAGGGCCTAAACAGCTACCATGCTTTCATTCCTTCTGCTCTTTGTGTCTAAGCGACTACGAATCCAAATTCACTGTAGATGAAGGTTTCTATTGTCCAATTTGTGGGGAAAAATTTTTGCCAGACAATAAAGCCGCTTGCAATGAAACTAAATTCCTCTCTCGTATGGTCAAAACTGATACCAGAGCAGAAAAATCATTCTGTTCCGTGCATCCAAATGTTGAAATAAATTTTTTCTGTGTAGATTGTGAAAGTATGGGATGCCCGGTCTGTTCGACTGGCTATCACGACAAACACAATTGCATCGACCTCCAAGAAATGGCTGCCGTTGTTAAAGAAGAAATGAGGTCTATGTCACGGGACATTCACAGAAAAACAACACAACTTGAAAATGAAATTGAAGCTGAACTCAAAACAAAAAAAGAAGTTTTAGATGAGTTGGATCTAACTTCAAAAGAAATAAAAGAGAAGGCAGAATATTTGGAGGCAGTGATCAAAAGGCAGGCTGCAGATTTGCTGAAGCAAGTGAGCCAGGTGAAAAGCAAGTGCATGAAGGACATGGAAAACTTTAAAATGAATAACAAAAAATCAATTGATGATGATCTAGAGTACTTTAATTCATACGTGAAAGCCATGTTAGAGCATGCTACTGAGGAGGAGTTGATAGATTCAGTGAGGAATGTCAAGAGACGTACAGAGCACATTAAAATGTTTTCACTGCACGGTAAGGAGAGAGAAACGACCTCTGCTCAGTTCATTCCTTCCAATCTACATATCGACACTCTCTCCTTACTTGGACACATTGAACTTCAGAAAAAGATCAAAGAGTTCAAAAAACCAAATTCAAATTTAGAAACTTTAAATACTGCTTCTACCATTGAAAAAGTGCCAGGTTGTGAAGATGTTGATGGCAGAAATGTGGAAGAAAGTTTAAGAAACGTTCCAAAAGTGGTGTGGAAGAAATGTAAGGAGACGTCGTGTGGAGTAGCTGCCATTGCTGTTGGCAGAGGAGAATTTTTTGTGGCTGTAGAAAATTCCGGAGATATTCTAAGGTTGGCTGGTGGCTGACTATCTTGGGGTTTATTTTGTTTTCATAGATCGGCTGGTTAACCGTTTGCTTGAGGATGAGTTAGTTGTTAGTCCGGTTGTTTAACTCATTATATATTCTGATAATTCACTTTTACGTTCTATAAATGATGAAATATCTTTTCAAAAACTTAGAATCACATATTGTAGGAACAACCAATTTTCATCAGATTCGACCTGACAACCTTAAAAGAGAAGCCAGCGTCAGAAAGAATTCACTTACCCGATCTTGACACACCTTGGGATATGACCACCATCATCAGTGACGAACTCTCCCACACCTATGTCTTCATTCTGGATAATTTACATGGAAAGATACACCAGGTTGCTCTCTCTTTCTCTCTCTCTCTCTCTCTCTCTCTCTCTCTCTCTCTCTCTCTCTCTCTCTCTCTCTCTCTCTCTCTCTCTATCATTTTCATTTTTTTCTAGTTTCTCTGTGTTGTTCCAATTTCTTCATTTCTCAATTTTTGTTGTGAACTTTTTGCAGCTTGCTATGTGTCTTTTTTAGAAGGGTTTGTATGCCTATGCCTGCAATCTTAATGAATGAACTATAGTTGATTTAATTAAGTCTTTGTTTTGTGCGTGTGTGTGTGTATACATGTGTGTGTGTGTATACGTGTGTGTGTGTATAAGTGTGTGTGTGTATACGTGTGTGTGTGTGTATATGTGTGTGTGCGCGCGCGCGCGTCCTTGTTCTTGTTTGTTGACTAGTCTTATAAATATTATCATTATTTTTGTCATCATCATTGACGAAATCATCACCAACATCATCATGGACAGTATAACATTTGCAAAAAACATCATCACATTTAAACGAACATCATCACATATAAACCAACATCTTCACGTTTAAACGATCATCATCACATATAAACCAACATCATCACATATAAACCCACCAGATTAACGTGCCATTTAATCCTAGCATAGGACCTCCAAAATTCATCATGAAATCCTGGCTAGTCCCACTGAATGAAACTCTCTCCCTCTCCTCAAACCAGGATCGACTTCTAATTGCAGGCGTCACCAACAAAATCCTTGAATACTCCCTATCATCTCTACTCATAATATCATCTTCATCATCTTCATCATTAACTGGATTGACCTTTCCAGAGCCGACGACCTCATTTTCGGTCATTCCACCCATCCGAGATATTCTACACGCGAGTAGATTGGACGACAGCCATTTTGTCACCCTCTTCGATCACTTGTACGAGCTCTGTGGAGTTTTTTTGGTTAATGAGTGGGGGAAGATGGTGAAAAGTTTTGGGGAGGGGAGGGGTAGCGTAGCACATCTCCAAGTGGATTACCCCGTGCATGCTGCTCTGGATAGAAAGGAACCGACTGATTCTGGTTGGCACACATCTTTCTTTTTTTCTCTTTCTCCATTCCTCTCTCTTTCTCTCTCTCTCCTTTCTCTTTTTTTCTTTTTCTCTCTGTCTTTTTCTTTCTTTCTGTTCCTTACTTATTGTGAAGTTGTTTCCATGTGTGCTTATTTATTAAACGACATATAACATGTTACACGTTTGGGCCTTGGTTTTGTTGGCGTTCATCGATGTATGTACGATTATTACGCTTATTACATTACACAGCCTCATTTGAGGTCTTAATTGATCATTTCACGCTTTACGCTTTAATTTAATTATCACATAAATTTCATTTGAGTAATTCAACTGCATTCAGAAGCCAGTATAAATAGCCATGCACGTACGCACATTCTAAAAATTACAGACACACCAATACACACTGACCACTGACTGACCACAAACACTCATCGACATCCACTGATTCAAACAGATCACCACAGTCATCCCAGTACCTCACGCCCCTACAACGACTCCTGCTTCATCTTCGTCTGTGACGCCAACAACGGCCGAATCTCCTTGTTTGACGGGGATTTGACTTTTCTAACAATCCTGGACGACAACATCATGGACGCTTGGAGGCTAGCCATTGACCCGCTGAACAAACTCCTCTTTGTGGCTACTCTCAACAATGCTTTCTACGTCATTAAGTATCAGTGACGTCATAATTTTTTTTATACTGGCCGTCTAACATCGTCTTCTATCTGTGTGTGTGTGTGTGTGTGTGTGTGTGTGTGTGTGTGTGTGTGTGTGTGTGTGTGTGTGTGTGTGTGTGTGTGTGTGTGTGTGTGTGTGTGTGTGTTACATTTATATTTAAATGCAAATTATTCTTACATTGTTTTACTTTATTTTCATACTTAAATGTCAGTTGAAAAAATTTAAGTTTATATCAATGCTGATTCATGCATGTTTGTCTGTTTGTTTGTGTCTGTGTGTTGTGTGTAAGCGAATTATTCATGTGCTTATTATAAGTGTTTCTATTTAAGACTTGAAAAAAAAGTTTATATGTATTAAAATTTTTATTTCTTTTACTACGACCTGCATTTATATTTTTTTATCAGCCAGTCATTGATTAAACTTTTTGATTCTATTTTTATAGAGTTAAATTTATGCGTTAAAATATAACTTTTCTGTCTTTAATTGTTTTTAAATGTGTATATACATTTATGTTAAAGTCAGTCAGTCAGTCAGTCATGGTTAATCTTTAGATTGAATGTTTCTTTACCTGCATCTGTCTCTTTGGTTTATCTTAATCATGTTTTCTTGTTTTTATGTGTGTTTTTCTCCTCTAAACACGTTTCAATCAAAATGTTTTTTGCGCTTTATGCGTTGTAAAAGTTTTAGCGATTTTTCGGAATTGGATCTGTTCGAAGAAGACGATTATTCAATTATGTGAATTATGTGAATTGCGTAAATTATGTGAATTATGAACTGTTGTTAGCATTATAATCTACTTTTTGCTGCTTGAGTACTGTATTGCTATATTTTTGAGTGACCTGATTGTACACAGCTACAGCCCTGCCAAATTTCATTTCAAATCTGAGTTTTGTTCTTATTTAGTTATTTCCTTTATATTGTTTTTGATTATTTCAAGATGTTTTATGAAGTTTATTTTGCTAGTTTTCAAGTCAATTTATTTTTATTGTTTAAACATTTTAAATTTTAATGATTTGCTTTTAAATAAATTGCGCGCGCGTGTGTGTGTAATTTTTGCTGTACCTAATGACTTCCATTCAATGCGTATTAAAATTTGGATTCCTAAATTGAAAAAAAATTGAAATCTCTAAAATAGTCTTCCATGTCCGTTAGATTCAGCGAAAACACCTTAAAAGATTTCATATATACAGTAATTCGTACATCAAATATTATATCTGTACATAAAACTTGTAGAACAAGTTTTTTAAACCGTAAATGAACAACATTATATTTAACAGATGTTTTGAAAAATGTTGAAACAATCAATATAACGGGAAATTATCTGAATGTAAGATTTTAAAGATTTGTTCTGCAATTGAATAATAATTTTGTTTTATTAGAGGTTTTTGAACCAAGAAAATAGGTTAGATGCAATGGGTTAGAGGACAGTTAACAAATCCACCATCCAAATACAAATGTGGTAAATTATTTTTAGAACATGGATGGTTGGACGGGTTCAACTAGATTCCGACTTGATGGTGGCAGGTAAATGACTAGAAAGAAAATTTAGGGTAGTGGCACAAAAGTTCATCTCACTACACACACACGCGCACACACGCGCGCGCCACGCACACACACACACAAACATGTTATGTGTGTTAAGTGAAGAGTGATGTCGTTGCGAAATAATATTGCTCGTGAATTCGGGGAATTATCAGTAAAAAAATTATTGAAACATTTTTGAAGAAAGATTTTATTGCTGACATGGTATAGGCCCTTTCACTTTTTTGCTATTGAGATACGAGGCAATCAATGTTCAACCCGTATATTGTTTCTATTAATCGTATGTAGGTATTTCGGCTGCAATTTTTCAATAGCAAGATCAAGTTGAGTAGATATTTGAAATTGAGGTACGAAATTAGACTTACTTATGATGGGGCAGAAGTTCATCGTAGGGCGGGTTAGATGAAAAGGGTAAAGAACGGAACAGATAAAACTTGATGCGTGTTGATGTACGAAGAGTTTAATTTTAACAATGAATCCAGCATGAATGAAAATTATTGAATAATATTTGAAAAGATTTAAGAAGAACATTTTAGACTGAGGTAGGAATGATCTAAATTTTAAGGTTAACATCTTTAATTTGGTAGAACATGCTGCTTTTAATAGCGCTCACAAACTGCAAATCCATCATCCAAATAAACCAACTGAAAATCCAACTTAGTTTTTCAATATGACGTTGCACAAGAGGCTTTGAATTCTGAGATGAACTTTGATATTTTAAAAGCTATATAAGGCGGATCATCTCAGCAGTTTTTATTGAAGTCAAATTCAATTTGAGATTCTAACATTCGAGATGAAAGCTTTCTTCGTTTTGGCTCTCTGCGTTGCCAGCCTTCTGGCATCTGATATTCCTTCGCCGTTCCAGTGGAACGAATCCTTCCGTGTATCTGTGAGTACCTCATGTTCCTCGTTTATTTCATACTTGAATATTTCAATTGTTGCACGGTACATTATTTAACAACTCCTCCACCCTGCCACCAGTACGATACGTTGGATGAGCAGCACAAGGGACTGTTCAAGGGCATCTACGACGTCGAACAGTCGCCTGGCAGTTCGCAGGCCCTCACCAACCTGAGGAACGTCATCGAAACTCACTTCAGAACCGAAGAGGTCAATTTTTAACAATTGAAAATAATTTTATTGTACGTTTATTTACAAGTACTTGAATTGAAAAATGTGCAGAAAATGATGAAGGATGCTGGTTACAGCGAGTACGACTCCCACCGCAAGATTCACACCGACTTTGAGAAGGACCTTAGCGGATACACCACGACCGTCTCCTCCAATCAAATTCAAACTGCCAAGGAATGGTCAGTTGCTTATTCAAAATTGCAAAAATTATTTCTGCAACGTAAATGATGCGTTAGTTCACCCGCGTGTATCTATAAAAACGTTAAGAAGCGCTAATGAGCAATACGGAAATGGCGCTATATAAATTGTAGATTAATTGGATTGATTAAATGGGTTTGATTGAAATATGTTCGCATTGTTCACCATTAAATTTGTTCATCCATTCGTTTGCATCAGGCTGGTGAACCATATAAAAGGAATCGACTTCAAATACAAGGGCAAGCTGTCAAACTAGTGAAAAGCCGATTTGTCGGATTGATGTCTCACTCTGAAACATTTGACGAAATTTATTATAAGCAAAACTTGTTTTAATAATTATAATTTATTTTTATAAAATAAATTTCTGAATAAATTATTTGAAAAAAATTATTCGACTTTTTGATTTTGAAAAGACTAAACAAAATCTCTGAGTTGAAATTGAATAAACTGAAAAATTTATCCCAGTATACATACGCACCCACATTTACAAATACACACTATCTATACACAAATACACATACATTTCATGTCAGTATTTACATTTATATATTCAATCATATATCAGTTCTAAAAATAATCATATATTTTCTTTCTTCATGAGACACGTACGTAAGTGTAGACCAGCCATGCAATAAACCGTGTAAGCGAGCAAGCAGTCCTGTGTTGATCGCAAGCAGACATTTATTCAGTTAGGTATATTTTAATTAATTTTTGAGCAAATATGATGCTAATTGTTTTATTACATTATCAGGACTGGCACTTGACTTGAGTACTGATTAGATAGGATGTTTTATGATGAGGCCAGTGGAGGATTAATATACAAAAATTGAGAAAATTTGAGCCAGCCACAGGGAAGCGAGCCACACGAAGGCGAATAAAATCGTCTGCCGTCGACAGTGATGTTGAGAGCCACAACAAGAGACATTTCAAATGCATTTTGGTATTTTATGAATCAGAAATTTATTGAAAACTGAAATGAAACCATCTATGAATTATCATATTTTTACTTGAAAAACTTTAAATTTTTTGGTGTAAAAAGTTTGTTACAAAGTAAGGGTCCCCCTATCTTTATGGTTATTTTCATTCGGTGTTATTTTTCAGACTGTTTAAAGTATTTTTGACGAAAGCTGATACATAAATCTAAAAAATATTTATTCAATTTATTATTAATATTTCAATTTTTAGTAGTTTCTTTCATAATTTTAAACTGTTTTTTATCTACTTTTTTTATTGATTTTCTATAATTTCGCTACTTGCTATAAAATTCATCTTGTCATAGACTACATTCAATCAATTTTTTAGGCCAGAAAGAAATATATAGAAATATCTATAAAAATATAATACATATATTAGTACCGAATTAATTATATCAAAAAGTAGCAAAACATTAACATTGATTTTATCATTTTTGTTTAAAAAAATTTTCCTACATATAATTTTTTAGACCAGAAAAAATATAAACAAGATCTAGGAGTAAAAAAGAAAATATATCAGTTATAATAAAATTATAACGGTAGAATATTAATTTATAATATAAATATAAAAAGATAATTAATATAATAATAATAATAATTATCTTGCAAGGAGAGTCTACTTAGGTGGAGTTGTTGCTGTTGTTAGCCCACTTGATGTTATTAATTGGAGTAAGTGTTTCTCCGGAAAGAGATTTCTTATGGCGATAGAGATCATGATGAAGATGATGATGATGACGGAGATGATGATGATGACTGAGATGTTGATGATTATGATTATGTTGATGATGAAGATGATAATATTGATTATGGTGACACTGAAAAAATATTAGAATGAACGATTTTTTAAAGAGATTTTGATTAAAAACAGCGTCCTAATGACGAAAACTTGTCAAAAAACGTCTAAAAAACAGTTTACAAACTATTGGTCATTAATTTATTATGTGTTACCAACAAAACTGACAAAGGTCTTTCAACTGACCATTCATTCATTTTTAAACGATAACAACACAGACGCATAACTTTATTAAAATTCAGTTACAAATTAGACAAATAAAAACACACTAAAGCTACTGGCGTACGATAGGAAAAAGATGAGATGACCAAAAGATGATTAAAAAAACATCTTCATCTCATACTAGATGGACTCTTATTAGCAGCTTTAGCAGCAGTGTCAATAACCACTTGATGTCTCGTATGCATTTACCGCAGTTTGTTGCCGTTCGCAAAACATGCTCTCCAACGTGCGATATTTGTGATCGTGTAATTTTATACTAAATAAAATCTGGCTTATACTCCCTGTATTTTATACTAAATAAAATCTGGCTTTTTTAAATTTTTCAATAATTTATGTAAATTTTTAGCAGGTATTTTTATGGTGAAGTTGAAAAATAATTTTTTAGTTAATGAAGAATTTAATTTTTTATGCGGCTTAACTAGTTTTTTTTAATATTTTTCTAAAAATTTTGAAAATATGTTGTGAATAAATAAACATAGATGACAATTTTGCTTTGAATTAGTGTATAAAAACAAATCGATTTGATTGGTTGTTGATATTTGGCAGTCGATAATGATTGGTCGAGATGATAAGTGCCATTTACATCCAGATATAAAAATTGTTACAAACCGACAAATAATTCGACATTTTTTCAGATTATGTATAAAAATTTTGAAATTTATTAACAATTATTCTTTTGTTACTCAAATATGTTGAAGTTAAATGAAAGAAATTCAAAATCATTTGACGTTGAAAGTCTAATAAATACGAATTTTGTAAACGATCAGCACACACTAATGTGTGGTAATAGTGAAAAGAGCACATCTTCATGTTCAACTACCAAAACTCTTCCCCAGACTGATAACAATAAGTACAAACTATGGAACAGATTGAAAGCATTAGATGTTGACTGTTCGACTGTTTCAGAAAAGAATTTTGTATCGAAATATCACACACCGATCAGACAAAATAGCGAAAACTGTGAGTTGTGCCGTAAAAACATGAGCAATTTTGAAGATTTTTTTGAAAAAAATTTGTTCATTTATAATAAAAGTTGCAAAGATTTCAATTCAAACTATTTTCCGATGAATAATATCTCTATGAAGCCAGTCGTAGATCAGAATTTAAAAAATAATTACCCTCAGAATAATTGTAGCAATTCATCGGCGCCTGGACTCCAACACTACAAGTGTCCTAACTTTAACTATTCTGCCAAACAAAACTTTCTCAATTTTCATGGAAAACCACGAGGCACGAGCCAAGATGAGAACAGCTTCAGAGGAGATGATCCCAGCAAACAAAACAGTCGAGATTTTATGAATGAATTCAAAAATATTCACGTACCGACGTCAAGAATGTTTTTCTATCATCCGAAACATTTTAATGAATTTTTAAGGAGTTCAGAAATTTTTCTGAATTATGAATGTGATCGAAGAGCTGAATGTATCGATAGGACCTGGAGGCAAACATGGGAATCTGGAGCGACGAGCTTCTTCGGTGAACGTGACGAGGAAATCACGACAAGTTAGTTTCAAGCACTTTTCCCATGATAAACATACATTATATACGAGCAAACATAGAATCATTATTAAATTCATTGAGTGTTTACTAAAAAAATGCAGTAGTATTAGGTATTTTTAAAGTTTGGTAACCAGCAATTAATGCCAGCTAACAGAATGAGGTAAATTTGAATAAAAATACAAAAAGTTAGTGTAAGAAAAATAATGTCAAAATAAACTTCAGATATGAAAAAAAACTTCCAATAAAATATTTAAACCATGAAACAAACATTAGCAACGAAACGAGCGAGGACAGCCTTTTCCAGCGTGCAGCTTCTGCAGTTGGAGAGATGCTTCAACGACAACATGTACCTCAGCCGCATTAGGAGAATAGAGATTGCCGCGAGTCTGCATCTGACGGAAAAACAGGCGAGTAACGCTTTTGTTGAGTTTTTGCGAATTTGAAAATTACCGAAAATTTTTTCTCAATTTCCGTAAACTTTAGAGATATTTTTCATATTTTGGTTGTGAAAGTTGCAAGATATTATAAGGTTAAAGATATTTTTAATATTTTGGTTGAGAAATATATATGATAAACTTAAAATAACAGTGTAATTTTAACAAACAGGTAAAAATCTGGTTTCAAAACAGAAGAGTTAAGTACAAGAAAGCAAACAATCTGGATGTTCAGAGTGCCGATGACGCAGATGATGAAGTTGATGAAGAGGATGAAGATGGTGGTAGTGGTGGCGGCAGTGGTGGTGGTGAAGAAGTCGGAGTAGTTGGTGGTGGCTGTAGTAACGGTGCTGGAGTCTCTACTTTATGGAATCATTATTTAGATGTTGAAAATTAACCATGACTGATGTTTTTTTTAAGAAACCAATTAATTCGTTTTTCCATTCATTCATTGTTTCAAGAAAATTTTTTATGTGGAATATCAAAAACAGTAAAACAGATGCGTGTTCGATCAAAAATTCCTAGAGACAACAAAATATACCAACAAAATTGTATTCGTTACATCTCTCTTTCAACTATCTACCAAGGCTAAAACTCATAAACTCCACGGCTTACACAACTGAAACATCAAATCCAACGTAATTTCTTAATTTCATAATAAATAATACAAAATTTCACAACAAATACTGACAATCGTTTTTTAAACAATTAGACTAAATTAAATAGCAATGATTTGTTGCCGTGTTAGATCTCCGAACCATTGAAACGATCGCAAAGGCACTGCGAACCACATGGACACTTCAGGTTGCAGTCCAATCCATACATTCCTCTATCGCAAACTGAAATTTTTTTGAAAAATTTTTCAGTTTTCTCGGATTATAAGTTATAATTTTTTATGATACTTTTAAAATGGTTGACGTTATGGCGTAGAGGTTAAGCTGCCTGGCACTGCTTCTGCGCTAACTGGATTTGAATGCATATGGTGTTTTGGTCTACGTGTATTTATAAGAGCTGTGTGTTTGTTATTGGTGCCTCTGAAGAAAAAATTCTAAAAAAGTTCTCAGCAGGAAAAATTGAAAACTCAAACCGCTGTAAACACTGTTCATGTATGCTCCTCCACAAATTTCATTTGGCGATCCAATGCAATTCCTGTCACAAATCCATCCCGTACCGGATCTTCCGTAAGGTGTGGGAGCAGAAACAGGTGTATGCGACCTGTATGTAGATGGAGAAAAGAGGCATGAATAAAACCACTAGCATGATTGGAAAGAAATGAGACAACCAATATGAATCAAAAATGTTAAAAACTGTTAATACGATATTTCAAATCAAAATCTTTATGTTTGGTTTCTTTGAACTTTACTAATAACCTATATATCAAACGCTTATTGGTTAGTTTATCTTTTAAAATGGAAAAAAAAACTCAGACAAAAAGGAAGTTTTTTACAAGTATTCACGAAAATTTCAACAAAATAATTTAAAGGAAATGGTGATAATGGAAATTGGGACTTCAATTTATGAATCAGAATATAAATAATTTATTGAATTAGGGATAAATTTGAATAAAAAAATAAAAAATTGCGATAGGCACCAAGTCATCAGTTTGTTTTATGCTTTGATTTTCGAAAAATAACTAAAAATTAAAACTTTTCATACAGTTTGATAGAAAAAAAATCGGAATAATTTTGTAAGTTTTAAACGCGAATTCAAACCATTTTTAATAACAACTTGCGTACCTGAGTAGCGAAAACAGTGTAATTCAGATTGGCACAAGCTTTCCAGCACCTTATCGTTGTTAAACTGTAATCAGCGGCTAACGGATATGTTAGGTCTCTCGCCTGTTTATCTACGTAGCATCCTAGGTAGCGAGCTGTTGTTTCTGTGATTGTAGAATAATTGAAGTATTTGATTATAGTTAATGTTTTGTGCAAAATGTAAAATTATAAAAGAAATATTATATTATCATGAATTAAAACATAATTCTTAATAGACTTGAAAAAATGTTTACCATCAAAGTTTATTCCAGCAGCGTTCCTCTGTTAAGCATCGAAGTGAACGTTAAACAGTCGTCGTTGAATAAATTAGAAGTATTTATTTTTCTAAATAATTTTTTTTTTCAAACCGCAGTTGCAGTTACCGAGTTGAATCGAAAGATATTTCTACCTATCATCACATGCAGCGTATGTAAGGAGCGCATTCATCTCATCTATACAAACTCTGTAGTGTACTATGTTTTTGGTGTCACTGAGAATTAATACTGGGATGAAATTGGACTGAAACTGAAATAATTCTCGTGTCATTTCTCTTACCTATGGCTAAATACTTTTAGTAATTGATTATAGTTAAACTCCGAAACAACGACACAAAATGCGATTAGGAGTGCTTGCAATATTTGTTAAACTATAAAACAACTTTAAAAATCATGTGATAATTTCTTGCCACAGTATAATGATTTAAGTTTAGTTTCGTTTCAAACGTTTCAACATGCGCTTCTTACATATGCATGTACGCAAAAAAAGAGAAAAAAGAAAACAATTTAGTTGTTGCTACAAAATCATCAGAATGAAATACTTGGTAGAAGCTGCAGATCTGTTGAGAATCGTACTTGGTTGCAAGTTTGGATCTTCTGATAAACAGGAAGCAACTCCTAATGCCAGACTGGTATTCACATGCAACGCAGTTGATCATATTGGAACAGAATGCAACACATTTGAGGCGGGAATCATATCGAAAGCTGCACTGAACGTCTGCAACATCCGAGACACATGTCTTCAGAACGTAGGAGTTGTGATTTCGAGAAAATATAACAGAGGAAACAGTCTGGATGTAACAGATTTCAAAAAGTATTTTCACAAGACCAAACATATCTTGAAAGGTTGGGACGTTTTTTAAAGTTAACTTCGTTTTTTTTCGTCAGCAATTTATCAATCTAATCCTGAAATGAATTTATATATGCTAATTCCAGCATTAATTCCAGAAAATTTCAAATGCATACTTTTTAAATCAAACATATCTAAATAATAGTAGTTTCTTTTATACATTAATGGTTTACTTGTTTTGCAGTTTAACTTTTTTGTGATTTGTGACTCTATTCATCCACTACATTTACATGAAATGAATTTTCTTATGTTAGTTGTAGCTTACTTTCAGCCAAATTTTTCGAAGCAGAGCATTATAAATTCAGAATTTCTATAGTTAATACAAAACAATACAAAACATTTCTGCGTCTGTCAGATTCTGATTTTGATTTAAAGCAATAAAAAAATATTTTTATGATAGAACTTGGAATGGCATTATGCAGATGAGTGAGTATCGATCTATAAACATTAAGTCAGACGTGGTACAATAATCAACAACAAATAGAAAAAAGAATAACAAATATTGATATATTGTTTGAAAAAAAACGTTTATCATAAAAAAATAAATTAAACAAAGGATGACAAATACTGATATATTGTTTTATAAAATTTTAAAACAATTTATCCTTCCTTTTCTTCACCGAATTTTTGAATAAATGAAAAAATTAAAAGAACGAAAATTTTAATTTTATTTTTACAATAGAATGTAAAATATTTAACTTTCACGAAACATTTGAACAACATGGGGTGGCAAACCACGGCCCGCAAAGTATGCGGCCCGCAATGCCTTGTTCGTCTAAAATAAAAAAAGATCGTCAGCCAAACATTATGACCAAAAAAAGAGCCACAAATCATAAAAAAATTCTCCCCCGGGTCGAAAAAATTTGCTATTCAAGTACATATGCGGCCCTCACAGCAAAATGTTTGCCTACCCCTGGCGTAGAAAATATGTTTTAAAAGGTGAAATAGATTTATTGTTAACAATTTTAAGAGACATATTTCACGTGCGTCATGAATACAGTACAAATCATATGTTAAATTCCAGCTAGTCAGAAGGTCACATTTATATTCACAGAGGATTAATACTAATAACATGGCAACTCTTATTACAAATTTAAAGATTAAAAGCTAGCAGAAAAAATAAAGATGATTCTAGAAAAATATCTTCAATATGATGATGAAGTTTTTAAAAGAATGAAGAATTTGTAAAAATGTTATACATGTGCTGTGTTGTCAGAATGGTTCTGTCACAAATATATTCAATATATATATATCTGAATTTTGAATTAATTCTACCTATATTTTATTATTATGTCTTCTTCTTGTTTTAGGAATTTCCATTAATTTCTTCCCTCTCTCAAATTTAAAATATATTTCTTAATTTTCAATACGATTGTTAAACAAAGCTATATATTCATTTGCGATCGAGTCGTTTCTATCCCAATAAACTTTTACTAAGAGAGCCATTCATATAAGCACACGGTCTAACAACAATCCACTCATCATTCAACTCCTCCAAACATTCATTTCATTACTTTCAATTTTTTCATTTTCTTTCATTCACTCTCTTCAAGCATTAAATAACAATCGTCCGCCTCATAACACACGCCTCTTTCCAAAACGTTGATGGTCTGCTGTCTGTTGATGGAACGTCGTTGATGGTCTGCTGGAGTTTCCATTCTGTTATTCATCAGAAGTGTCGGACCATCAGTGGATTCAAGTTGATCTGATTTGGTCATATCTGGTTGAATCGGTGGAAATATACGGAAAATCTTCTACAAGTCAGAACTTATTTTTAATATTTATTTTTGTTCCTAACAGTTAAATAATTATAAATTGAAACTTTCCAACAGATGAGTTGATTGTCAGTCTGAGAGATTCGACAAACAGAAGGACCGCACCATGCAAAAACTTGACCAGCCAACTGGCAAACATCAACGTTACATTCCAGTGTTCAAACCCTGCAGAACATGCTAGCAGGTACATCAGAGTTGACCATTACAGCAGTCCCAGCGGTAACATGAGCATCTGTGAGGTGGTCGTCCGTGGTCAGCTTGATGGAAGTTTGTGTAATTTCTTTCATCGTTTATTATTCCATAATTTAAAACTTGTAAATAAATAATTTTCAATTATGAATTGCAAATTAAATATAAATTAAGAAATTTCATTTAATTTTTAAACTTGACCTAAACGTGAAAATTCTCTGTCGACTAACTAAACACAGTCCGATTATCATTTGTTATCTTCCCTGATTTGGGCTTTTTGACTTGTGGTTTTTATGAAATAAATTTAATTTTTGTCCATAAATGAAAAATTAGTAAAATTCAACACAGGAGAAAAGTAAATTTTACGCTAACACAAGTTTTTAATTCGTGCTATGTATAGAAATCAACGAAATGGTGAATTGGAGCAATGGTTTCCAAAGTTAATTTGGGAATAAAATCTGTTTAAACCGGGATTTTAAAAATTATCCACATTAATCAAATATCCGGATTAAAAAGCCTAGAGTTAAAATGATTTTGATTTTTTTAGGTCTTAGCAATATTAAACTCTTCATTGAAAACATTTCAAGGCAATAATCCGCGGACCAATCTACTTTTGAAAAGGCCCGCCCTCATGAACAGTTCCATCAACGCCACAAACGTCCTCACCAACAAATACATGTTGTTAGATGCCACTCTGGTGGTCGATGGCATAAGAGATGTCAACATAGACCACGGACACTGTGCCCACAGCGGCGAGGTGGGATTCGCACAGAACTGGATCCAGGTGGACATGGGTAGGGATTATGTCGTGGACTACATTGCTCTCGTCAGCAGATGGACCACCTCCAACAATGGTTATTGTTGGAAATGTTGAAGTCTATCACTCATTATTTTGTTACACAAATGTATATAGCACAAAATTAATACATTCGAACATTTTATAACACCAATAAAAACGCAAAAATATGTCAAATTAGAAACTTTCTCAGAATTAAAATAACAACTTCAACGAAATTTTTTATCAAAACGACAAGGAATGTGAAATAGCTTGATGGAATGTGAGATAAATAAATTTTCTCGCGAATAAAATCATTTTTTATAATATAAATTTTATTTTGAACCAAATTCAGTGCCTCGGCGTGTATTCAACTTCATAATTGGGCTGACGTCACACAGCGCAACCGAGGTACCATTAACGAGAGGCGAGTACCCCCTGTGCAACAAGTACCCAGGGGCTGTCCCCAAAGCATCCAGAGTCACCCTCCAATGCAGTGCCAACCTGCCTGCCTACCGTTATATCATTGCACATCAAGCCGTTGGAGCCTATAACGGATATTTTTCTGTTTGTGAGTTGGAAGCTTATGAACCGATGCCCCAAATGATCAACCCCCATAAACGTTAGGGAGAAAAATTTTAAATGTCTGAATTTTCAAAATGAAAATGTCACTTTGCAAATCCACAAATGTAGTAAATGCAAATAAATTATTTAGACATAGGTCTTAATAAAAAAATGAAAAAACATCTAAAAGTTTAATCCTTCTCATTAAATTGCACATGATTTGGACTTCTCGACGCGTCACCTAATGTAGACTGGCCTCTTTCTGCGTTTGAACCAGTAAATACATTTTAGGACACACCGCCTTTATTCATTACTCCAACAAGCCCCCAAAATAGATTACTATTACTAAACTTCCAGGTCATATAACACGTTAAATAAATAATCTTTACAAAAAAAGACAAAAAATCGTAACTATAAGTGTTTAGTTTATATTGTTTTGACTATGTTCAATCGATATTTAAATTAAAACTTTGCAGAATTAAAATGGAACTCAGAAGAAAACTTCCAACTAAGGAACTACTCATTTGTCGAGTTTCCATCGGGCAGACCATCATTCTGCATAGCCCGCTGCATGGCTTTGGGAGATTTCGAATGTGATTCGTTCAATTTCAACGACCAACTGATGATCTGCCAGCTGAACAAACACAGGAATGGATTTCAAAATGAAAGTTTTATTTTCAGTCCAGATTGGTCCTTTTGGAACGCCACCTATTACAACTTGGGCAATTTGTGAAGTCATCTTATGCCACAGAGCTAATGTCGTTTTTAGTTTGTTAGATGTGTAACATAGCAAGAATTAACGATGTTCATTTTTATGAAACAACATTTAATAACTAAATTGATTAATTTATTAATAATGAATAAATTTTAAATATTATAAATAATTTCGACAATGTTTACAACGTCATTAAACATTTTGACCAGCAATATAAATATAAACACCAGATCGTAGTGATTAATTGTTACTAACATGTTATATCACATAAGAAATGAATAGAGAACTACTTTTATTTTTTATCTTCCAAGTGTAGACACTTTGTAAATTCTATTGAAAATAATAATTTTGTTGGTAAGGGTTAAGACTTTAAGACTCTTATTTTTTTCACCAAGAAGGATGGCAACTCTTATGCTATTGCTCATCTTGATTCATTGTAAGTTCGACTTTTCAAATTTTATCCAGCCAACAAACATTTAAACTAACAAGAGTTATAACAGAAATATATTTTGTGATACTAAATGTCCAATTAAAGTTTATGTTGTACAACTATCTGTATAACCAACATTCTGAAAAATCTTCAACTAAAATTATAAAAACTCCAAATACAAAACTCACAATTTTATAAAAAAAAACCAGTTCAGTCAATCTTGGGAGTCAATCTTTTAGAATCCTACATTGGTTGTTACCTGAATTTCGTAACTATTTCCAGTTTTGAGATGAAAACGTTGGAAGAGTGTAGACAAAAATGCACTTCTAAACCGGGATTTCTATACGCTGTCGGGGTTTGTTTTCCATCTAGATTGATTGACTGACTGACTGACTGACTGACTGACTGACTGACTGACTGACTGACTGACTGGCTGGCTGGCTGGCTGGCTGGCTGGCTTGCTGGCTAGATGGCTAGCTGGCTCTCAGACCGACCGACCGACTAACTGACTGACTGATTGACTGATGATGACCTTTCATTTAAAGGAGGGTAACATATGTCATTGTGGGGTCAAGGTTAACGAGGCGACTTCAACTTCTCAATGTCACTTCGAGTGTTTCAATGAAAACTGCAATGCCTACGTCAATAAAGCTTATGCCGTCTTTTCTCGTAAAAAATTTATTATAATTTGAATTTATTTTGTCTAATTGAATTTGTATTATTTGTTTGAGCGCCGACACTTCAATATTATATGATTGCATGATGTTTTGTTTGCACCTAAATGTAGTAAGTTGAGATATTTATAATAAATTCTATCCCATTATTTGTACAATCGTATTTGATTCACGGAAAATGATAAAAAGTTTCGAAAAACGGAAACATGGATGAGTCATGTCATCATTTCAGTTTAGTTTGTTGTAATGTCTATCAAACTTTGACGAACACAGGTTTATTAATGATAATAAGAGATGTGCTGAAAGAGTTTTTGTTCTCTCGTAAAGACTAAAAAAAAATATTAATAACATATTAATAAGTTAGAGTCTGAGTGTAATCAATTGACATAAGTGCATAGCCCGCTGCATGGCTTTGGGAGATTTCGAATGTGATTCGTTCAATTTCAACGACCAACTGATGATCTGCCAGCTGAACAAACACAGGAATGGATTTCAAAATGAAAGTTTAATTTTCAGTCCAGATTGGTCCTTTTGGAATGCCACCTATTACAACTTGGGCAGTTTGTGAACAGTCATCTTATGCCACAGAGCTAATGTCGCTTTAGTTTATTTGCTGGGTAAAACAGCAAGAATTATAAATATCCATATTTAACGGTAACAACATTAGCCAAGAAGACAAATATTTTTTTAACACTTCATATTTGTGATATTCTTTGTAATATTTAGAAATGTCCAGAATTAATATTATTTTTCAATTTTATAGCAATAATTATTTATATAGCCAAATTCAACTAATGGAAATATTATTTTAATGAAGACAGTGAGAACTTCTTAAAGACGCCATCTACTTAACCGTTTAACACATCACGCGTCCATCTAATTGCATCTCATCACCTAACAACTCGAAATAAAAAACTTTATGCATGACACATTCATTTGAAACTCGTTTGAAATAAGTATTGATCAGTTGTTTTTAGACTCAATAAATCCGCTAGTTAGATTAACAACAACAACAACAACCACAAAAACAACCACAACAACAACCACAACAACAACAACAACCACAACAACAACAATTATTATAAAACATTTCATTGCACATACATACATAAAATTATCATAGTAAAGGTTTTTTGAAGTAAGAAAATGAAAGTTATTTCAAAAAATTTTTGAAAAAAAAACATAATACCTGATATAAGACGCAGGTATTTAGCGTGTTGTATCTCGTTGCGAGTTTTGTGCAATTGACGAAGAGCGAGCAACTCTTCGAACCCGCCTGGTAGTTGCATCCGACGCAGTTGATCGTATTTGAACATTTAGCTGCACATTTCAGGCAAGAGTTGTACCCGAACACGAGCTGGATATTAGCAACATCAGCCGCACATGCCCTCAGGCCGAAAGCATTCGTGTAGACTGAGAAGACTGAGAATAAAGTCGGTGAAACGCTGTTCAAGAAAATACTTGCTATAAAAATATTCACACAATTAAACATTTTCAGTGTTAAACTTTTCAATTCGTTTAGAATGTCTTACAATATTACCGTATGAAATATTTAATTTTTGTAAAAGTACCTTATTATTATTCAATTTATAGTGAGACGTGATAAAATTTCATGGCTTTGGCATATTTATGGCTTATTTTATATTTCATGGCTTAAAGTTTTGTGTTTCATGACTGCAAAATGTTAACGATGCTTTCACAAAAACGACGCAAATTTAATGAGAATCGATCGGATCTCATTGTTTTGCAACACGGTGAACAATGTACCAACTATCATATATCAAATTGCATTTAAAATTTGTCCCCGCATATCCTAATTCAATTTTAATAATTTAAAAATTAGTTTTAACCAACTGTTCATTTTTATTTAAACCGTTAAATTAGCATTCAAGATAACAAAATGTAAAATGTTACATTTATTAAGTTCTAATTTGGTATTTTTCCATTCTACTTCTTCTTTCTCGCGCCTTATCCTTCCAGGACATTGGCAGCCATTGACCTCTACAAAACCAGATCTTTGTTGAAATGTGGTGATATCGTTGAGGTTGCGCTGATGTATGAGAACACCAAACTAGGAAGAGCAGTGAGCGAGAGAAGAAAAGAATAGTATTCGTTTGGATAGGCTGGACACGTGTTTTGTCCCTACCGGGATTCATCAGCAACCAGAATAGTTATGACCGTTTCTTATATAGCCCGCACAAATCACTTCAGTAGCTCATGGTGTTTTTATTTTTTTTATTACTGAAGATTGTTAGTTTAAGTCGTTAGGATTTTCAAATCCGACAATACTCCCTCACCAGATTGTCGCGTGTTTGTTGGCGACGTGATGGATGAGGTTGAATTGCCGGGATCAATCCTGTCTTACAACTATTACATGCGCTGTCTTTATATGATACGAAAGCGTTCGCATGTCACATACTATTATAAAAATAGCAACTTGTTGGCCATAAAACAACTCTACAAATTAATAGCATTAAAATTTATGTATAATATTTATAAACATTCAATACAAATTAAAATCATGAAATTTTTTAGTAGATATGACAGTGTCAAAAATTTAAGGAAAAATTATATCTTTTATAAACCATTTGCTAAGTTAAATATTTCTAAATCTTCTATTTTTTCTGAATAATCTGCTTTAAGATTATATGTTAATAAACAATATCAAACTTTTTATGAAGAGTATCAAGTGTATGTTATTATCAGCTGATTAAACGTTATTCAAGAAACATTTATTATGTTAATTTTAGCTACTTACATTTGACGAATATTGACACTTAATTTTATATTAATATTATTCAGACTAATGTTTTGGTCAACTAATGTTCTATATGTTATAATTTATATAAATTTACATTTAAAGTGTACAAAGAAGTTATTAAAGATAAAAACGGAAACATCCTAACAGAAAGTAAAAAGAGTAAAGATAGATGGACTGAATATAATACAGACTTGTTCACAGAAAAAAATAAATACAAAAAAAACGT